ACCTGATCTACAAAGACAGTTACAGAGAAAAAGACCCTGGAAGAAAGGGGGAGGCATCAGTGAGGCAGCTTGTCAGAGAAAGACGTAAATGTTGTCAGACATTAAAAGAGGCCCAGAGGCATTTTGTGAATAATGAATGTGCGCTTTTTCAAAGCAGACACCGCTACCAGAGGCTACCTTGTTAGCAGAGCAGTACCAAGGATATTTAACAGTACTGATGTATTGTTTTTGCAAAAAATCAATGTACATCTGATTTAATTCTACAATATTAATATATTATTTTATTTATTTATATTATCCAAAGCGATATACGTTTTCAGAAGGTGGGATCGGCCAGTCCTTGGGGTAATTGAGGGCTAAGGGCCTTGTTCATGGGCCCAAAGATGAAATCACTTTGCCGACCCTGGGCTTTGAACCAGCAACCATCTGATCACAGATACAGAATGTTATCCTGCTGAGCCACACCATATGGAAAGGGGGTAAAATAGTAGTATCAATTCAGAAGGGTCAACAAAAATTTAATATGGTGTTTTTGTCTGAGTATCGTCTTAAATTGGGGGTGGTGTGTAGCTCAGTGGGCTACGTCCCTGTACCAGAAGGTTGTTGGTTCAAGCCTGGTCTTAGTAAACTACTCACATGTTTCTGAACGCTTGGACAATGTCCATAACGCCCTGGGTGTCACAAGGAGGCTGCCCCTTCACTGTGAGCCCACCCTCACCTGTATGGACGGCAAGATGGGCCAAAAGCAGACAAAGAATTTCCTCATGGGAATTAATAAAGTGTCACTATTCTATTTTAAATGGTCACCTTTAGGTGTTAAGTGTCATAGCAGAAACTGGGCAGAAAACAAAAGATTCACTAGCATCCCCCGAAACAGGAGCAGGACAGTTGAATGCAGTGTAATGCAGTGTAAGTGACTATGGAGGAAGTGATGTCACGTGTCACATTGTTGTACTAGGAGGCTGAGAGATCACAGCAGTTTCTCTTAAGAATGACAATGGAGCTTGAACAGATACCTCGATCCCCCCTGCCCTGTTTCATCACAGCCCAGCTGCCGAGAAGTGAAGCAGGGCTACCGTACTGAGCTATTTCAGGAGTCTTCAGAACTCAGAGCCTGGGAACTGCATGACCTCACCTACAGTCTGCGTTCAGCTGAGGCCATCGCACAACAAAGAGGGAATTCCTGCGAGACAGGGAGTCGAGACGAGAATTTCAAGGAGTACTATCGAGCAAAACAAAAAACGTACAGGTCTGATTGACTGAAAATGTATTATTTCTGAAACGCAAACAGAATACACTATCTAGGTCAAATTGTATTGTATAATCTGGCAACACTTTACTTGACGGGAGCATGAATAATGTAGTTGAACAGTCTTAGTGCATTAATCAATCACAAACTAAGTGTTAGTTATGTACTGATTCCATGTTTGTTCATCATAAATCAATCAGAATGGTTCGGATATTTCATGCAGTTACTATATTTGTTCATGATTTGTACTTTACTAGTAGTTACTATAAGTTACCCCTCATATGCGGTAGCTATTAAAGGAAACAGTGTATCTTTTATTGTGATAAAACAAATTCAGTGTTTAGTCTATCGGGGATTAGGGCCAGACGGGGAAAACAAACCACGCATTTCTGTAAGGATAACCTTCGCTGTGAACACGTGATCAGACCACTTTTGTGGTCTGTGGCTCAATCGGCGCGTTGTCCGGCTTTATCTGTTGTGCTTCCTTAAAAGAACGTCTCAATGGCTGTTCTGCACGGCGATTCAGCTGGATGTCGCCCAGTAATAAAGAGAAGAATGCTTCTCAGCTTCGCCTTTCATTTCTGTAATTAAGGGAAAAAACTGAGGGCTCCGGCGAGGGGTCGCCGTATCGACTTTGGGGCAGCCAAGCTGAGCTTCGCGATACGCGGTCCGGCGAGCCAACAGCTCTATTACTAATTAAACGCTTGACATCTGAAAAATTGCTACGGGCACAATTCCAGCTGCTTTGCCGCCACCGTTCAAACCGAGCTTGACAGGTATTGTAAATTTAATAAAAGCGCGCAGACGCCCATCCCGCGGCCATAGTGTCCGCATCACACATCTGCTCAGTGATAATTATGGTCTGGCGATCATGGCCATATCCAGAACTAAATGCAGTGAGTCTGGCTTAATGTGATTTGATCTCTGTGACTCATCCAATGATAGGCTCAGACAAGAGTAATTAATTAACATCAGTAAACCAGTGGACAGAGATATTAGCGTGAAACCAGACTGGAAAGCACTGTTTAATGCCCGATGCCGGCTTTTCATTTTCAGCACTAGTGCTTAAACATCTACCATAAAAACACGGCCACATTCTGTTTGTATCTGCTAACTACTCTGTTTATAAATAAAGCTAATTAGTCATCATGACTAAATGACTTGAATGTCTGATCCCGAGCCAAAGCAAAGCTCATTTCAATACACTTACAGCCGATAAAAAAGCAGTAACAAGCAATGCATAAAAATCATTTCATTTCCCTTCAATTTCAGCACCTTAAAGTGATAATGAAGCATGCGCTTGCATTTTACACGCACAGTTAAAGAGAAAAGCAAGTAAATCTATACCTGATAGAATTAAAAAGGGGTAACTTAACCTTCAAGGACAGAATCACATACACAGTCAAATAAGCACACTACACTATACTATATAGGAAGAAATACATAACATCATTATTTGTTAACTTACAGACAACTCCTAATCACAAACGGACTGCCATAAAACCTATTATATAAAATTTTTTGACTTAAATCCAATGGGTTAATATACTACTACGCTTGTGTGGCTTCAGTGCTTTGTTGGCTCGAGGCCCAGTACAGTACTGCATGCAGTAACTTTTATTTTTCCTGTATAATTGAAATTATTATGTATTGTATTGCTACTTTTTCAACTTACCTACAAATTCAACATAAAGACAGACTTAGTGAAAGGATCTCGTTCGTAACCTGGGGACCTGCCTGTGTGTGTGTGTGTGTGTGTGTGTGTGTGTGTGTGTGTGTTACTCCAGCATATTGGCAAGTTTCCCAGATCAGAAGCAGCTCTGCTTCATCACAAGGCCCCTGGGGGGGGGTGTTCCCTGGAGAGACCAAGGGCTTTTTTGCTGGAGAAGGTGCTGTTTGCGCCACGGCCCTGTAGGGGGCTCCACTTACATGCTGTGCTGTGAGTCATGAAGCCCCGTTGCCTACCCCCATGCTTACCAATCACTATCGGACCTGCATCTGAGCCCCCTCTCATAGCTGCTATACTCCTAAACGATCATCATTCCAACTGATAACGAAAATAACTGTAGTCACCGTATGCCAGACTTGCACCAGGTGGGACGGAGAGTGGATCCTCGTACCCAGGGGGATGAGAAGAATTTGGGTAGAGAATGATGGAGAGCGATGAGAACAGAGGAAAGTGTTTGAGGTTCAGCACAGGGGAAATACACAAAGAGATGAAAAAGGTAGTGGGATGAAGAAACAGGATCTGGCAACCCAATATACGCATGGGTTCTGAGACAGAACAGCAGGCTATTTTATGTCATTGACAATTAAGACCGGATGAAGGAATGGCTTGTTACCTGACGCTGCCCCACCCAGGGACATCCACACCCCTCCCCACTTACTGTATACTATACAGGTAATGAATGCCGATATACAGCCATACATGAACACACAGAATACAAGACGTGATCATGAAATGAAATGAAAAATGAAATGAAAATGAAATGAAAAAATAACATCAAATGAAAAATGAAATGATTTTTTCCCCCTTTCATACACGCACAAAATCAGATATGTGGTCACTTGGTGACTGGGACAACGTTTCCTCGACATTCGTGTCTCTCACTTAGCCCTAACTAGCCCTAACTAGGGGTGGCCTACAAGTGGCTTTCAGATGATAGCTTTGGTCCTTTCTTTAACAGACAAGTTCTAGCTTGTATGATGCTCCTCTTTCAGCACCCGTTCCACCCCGCCAAGAAAGAAAAACACCATTCGGCACTAACTCTCATTTGGAACGATACAAATAAATAATGATAAAATTAAAAACTGATTTTACTAATTGAATTAGTACCACACAAATTTCCCCTGCTCCCCCTACCTCGTACTTCCAGCGGGGCGACCTGAGGTCAGCCCGGCTCCGCCCCCCTCACAATCTCGTACTTCGGAGTCGTCGCCTTCCTAGCCCACAAACTAAAATCAGGGCGCCTACTCCAACAAGATTAACTGACCCACATGTTTACGTGATATCATTAACGTGACGTGCAAATGAGCGACAGAAAACCGGTCACGCAAACGTCACCATTCCTATTATTTTTTATTTTCTCGTGCGGACGCCCCGTGCCCCCCCCCCCGGCAAACATTCCCGGTTGCCTGCCCATGATCCCTAAATCCGCCAGTGGGTTCTCGCTCTTCGTCTAGCCCGATATAATGAAGCCACTGGATGCTGCAGTTGGAGTGCAGAGGCAGAATGAGGGCAGGCCTCGCAGTGGCGCGCCCCACGCCAGCCGGGCAGCTAATCTCTGCTATCGCCGACCTTGGGCGTCTTGCTCAGCCCCGCCATCTGACTCGGTGCCCAGCTGCCTGCCACCTCTCCCCGAAAACAGCTGGCTAGCTCCAAGCCTTAAAGTGCTACTAAAAGGAGTAACCTTTCTAGTCCCTTCGGATTATTCTACTTGGATGCAACCCAGCACCCCCTGTATCTACTGTGACTTATACTCAGAAAACACTGCTATTAGCTATTAGCTACGCAGGTCCAAACATCAGTTTTTGTGTCAGGAAAGTTGCTTTTTTCAGTTTCCCAAGATCAGATGCATAACATAAGATTGTGCTTTAGTACAATTCATGCTACAAGCCACGTTCAAGCACATTAAGCTCTTCTGCACAGTAGACTGAAGCCCGCCGGGTCTGAAATTTAATCGTGACATAAATTTCCAATGCAGTTCAATGCCCCACTGTTGGATATTTCCAGAAAGAGATTCAAACCTACCAGAAGTTGACCAGGAAGGGGTGCTCCAGGTTTTGCATGATCTGCAGCTCCTTGAAGACGTTCCGGACCTCATTGCGTTCCACACACTTCAGCTTGTTCATGTACTTCATGGCGTACATCTTCTTGGTGTCTTTCTTCTGCACGATACACACCTACGAAGACCTTTAGCTGAGTCATTGACACAACAACCGGACGGCACGCATTTTGTTGTCCACTAGAACTGGAGGGATCTAGTCTTGAAAAGTCATTTTCATTTTCAGATTATTTACTATAACGCTCACAACTGTCGTCTGCTTTGTGAAACAGGGAGTCACTGAGAATCGCCTGCACACAATATTTAAATGTCAGACACGGTAGGCACAAAAATAAACAGAGATGGACACGAAATTTTATAAAAATAACATACAGAACACAAAAACAGTTTTCTACTACACTCAGAAAGAAGGGTAAAAAATTGTACCTTCGCGTGTCACTGGGGTTGTGCCCTCGTAATTGTACCTTTTAAAGTATAGAAATGAACTCAGAGGAACATCCCAAAGGTACAAACAGCATTAATGTACCATCAATGGTACAGAAATATTCCTCAAAGTCCATTTCTGTACCTTATAGGTACAATTACGTACAGCTAAGGGTACAATTGACAGACCCTTCAGGGTACAGCCCCTGTGACAAACAAAGGTACAAATTTTTACCTTTTTTTGTGTAGGTTATCAATCCTTCCCCTAATCATGCGTATTCGCTTCCCGTTTTCAAACAGCATGTAAAATATTCAGGCAACATTCAGAGCCAATAACGATATTTTGTCTACAGCTACAAGGAACACACAAGCTATAATGTTGATGAAAATTTGTAATCTGACTGTAATAGGACTTCAGTAATAAATGAATTATTTCCTGTTTATTTCTGACTAGTTTACGCTTCTGAGGTTATTCAGCTCGATTGAGTATTCATTTCCGTCTGTTTACACTATGCTTCATGTCATTTAACGTCGGTTTGTACCGAGAATCACTGCAGGTATGCTTCAGACTGAATGTTTATGCTTCACTAAAGCACTTCCTGAGTTTGTGTCACTGATAATGAAATTCATTCTGCCTCTTCATGGGATGAAGTACTTAGTTGCGTGCAGTACTTGCAGTATTTACATTACATGAGTACAATATCAATAATTACGACTCTGTCATGGTGACAATAAAGCTTGTACTCATATTTCACAGTATTGGGTAACACTTTACTTGAGGGGACTATTACTATTACTATCATTAGTTACTAAATAAGAGCATACTACTACTGTACTATTTGTGCCACCTCAAGTAAAAAAAGAAGTTGTGTCCTGTTCTGATGTGCTTTTGAAAAATGCATTTATTTTGAGAGACACCTTTGCATGAAGTGTAATCCAATAATAAAGAATAAAGAAATGTTCATTAAGGATCATTTATTAAATGTGACTGAGAGATCGAAAAAGCAGCCTAATGAAAATCACTGGACTACAGCACCTCACCTTCTGTACTCGGGTTAAATCGATTACTCACTGAAAGGTAATCAAGTACCTAATCAGGTATCAAAATGCAAAATAAAATGAAGACAATATTTGGGGGACAAAACAGCCTGCCTGTCCTTAATTGAAAGTAAAATTTGTTATGTAAAGGGTACAACCATGGTTAAAATTAGACAATATTGGATATTTGCCCTGCTCACAGACATTAGACCACTAAATGAAGTCTTAGTTACATACTGATCTCATGTTTGATCATCATTAATGAATCATGATGCATATTTTATCTTAAGTAGCTACGACATTTGTTCATGATTTGTACTTCAGCAGTAGCTGAGTTTAACTAAGTATTTGTGCCCCACCGAGTAAAGTGTTACTAAGTATTAAAAACCGAGACGAGGCTTTAGTGAATGATGACGTTCGAGGGTCTCACCTTTCCGAAAGTACCTTTCCCAATAGCTCTCAAGATCTGGAAGTGATCAAAATTGACTGCGGAAAGAAGAGAGACATATTATTCTCGTCTACTGTGTGCTGGACACATTTCGCTATGAATACTTTTCGAAGACCATTTGCAGACAGTGGGTGACAATTAGCCAGTTTTTAATAACCAGATGTAAAACGAAGTGATGTCATTGTCTCCATCCATCATCTAACTAAACAGATAAATGAAATACTAAATAGTTGCCTTTGCACAGCAAGCCAGTTACTTGGCATTTCTCCAACCTTCTACTTAAGGCTGCTTAGCTGCTTCCTTGATGTCTGCTGAAAATTTACAGAGTGTCAAACACACTTCCAAAATGTCCATCCATCCATCCATCCATCCATCCATCGAGTCCATTGGTCCTGTATAAATGTGGGACCCCCGGAGAGTATTCCAGGGAGCACATGGCACAAGGTGGGCGTACAGTGTAAGTGGCCCAGTGGGCTAAGTCTCCGTCTCTGTGACCGGAAGGTTGCCGGTTTGAGCCCCGGCCAATCCATCACAGGGCACGCTCTCACGTGACTTATACAAACAATCACACAATATAGGTAGAGTCACCTGTCTCCTTGTTTTTGGATTTCAGGAGAAAGCATATGGAAGAACAGGGAAAACTCCACACACAATGAGCTGGGACCAACTTCTAAAAAGCTCTAGTAAGCTTCTGTAACACACTGATGCTTAACAGCATCGCTGAAGGGTGAGGAGTTCAGACCAGAAAGTGGACGCTCGCATCATCTCGTCTTGTGCCTTAGTATGTGCCACGAACACCAAACGTGGACTGACTCATCGCGTTACGGGCTTGTCTCTAGGGGTGAGGTCACATGACCACGCTGTCCCCAGTGTCAGCTGACACCTCGCTTCCTCTCGAAGGGGACGGATCTGACCTGACACATCATGATGCACTTTATTAAGCCCCGTTTGCTTGCTTCCTCATTTGTGAACTGAACCTGCTCTCCTGGCTACATGAGAACATAATGGATTTTCCACCCTTCAGAGGAATTCATAACTAAACATAAATAAAAAACAAAAAAGCTACGTTTTCACCCAAGAGGGAACAACGGAAAATGTCGCCTGCGTTGCTTCTTGATGGTAACTTAGTCACGACAGCTATTAGAGAGGAATTTATCTTGTTGCTGTGGTAACAGACACGCAGTCCATTGGTTCTGCTATCTAGCTGTTAATAAACCATGATGAGCAGACAGACTCACATAAACTAGAGAAGATTAGACTTCTGATTATATACTGCTCTGGGACTATTTGAATCTGAATCTGACATCATACAATCATGAAAATCCTCAGCTGATGTATTAATACTGTGGATGAAAAAATTAACCAGGAAATTTGCATTTTGCTAAGAAATATCGTTACTACATTCATTATACCTCATGACATCATCGTACAACGTTGACTATATATCAACTCAATCTTTCCATCAAAACAGAACATACTCCATCAATCCGTTCATCTTTCAGCCACTAATCCTGGTCAGAGTTCCACGGAGGACTGGGGTACGCCCTGAACAGGATGCTAGTTCATTGCACGGCAAACGGTCGGTACTGTAACAGCGATGCAATAACCTGTATATTAAACATCCCCATAAATGGTCCCTCCAACTTTCCTCAATCAGCCCACTAATGAACTCACTGCAGTAACCTTCCTGAAGATGTAGGTCATCACTGTGAAGCTGTACTGTAATGGCAGAGAGGGAACTGCAATGTCACAGTACATACAAGTTTTTCTTTTTTTACCAAGGGATCATGCTCACGGTCTTAAGTACAGGTCACTAATGAATTTCGTGTCTGAGGTCCATTGATAAGAACGGCAACAAAACAGTGTTGCAAATTAATTACGTCCCTATTTTGAAACCCCTATTTTAAACCAGCTTCGGATAAATGAGCTTCAGTGGCCGTTCATCTCCGATTTCGAAGTAGCCAGAAGAAAAATGTGAACAGACACATCATTTATCAAAGAATTAAACAAAATACAATATCTCTAAAAAGAATTTTTAGCTACAAAATCCCACAAAGGGAGAAAACGCCTTGGGTGTTTCAGTGCCTTAATGACATGATGCGCAAGACTTGAAAGTCGCTGAGATGGATTTTGCCCTGTCAAGTTACAGCAGAACTTTGCATCTTCTAAAAACTTCTGAAGATTCTTGAAAAGTTTTTTGTAACTCCAAGGGTATTCTGCCTTCCAGAATGAACATGTTTCTTCTGAAGTGTGCCTCATATATTAAAAGTGAAGATTATAAATACAGTACCAAGTAAGGTATACCAGTTTTTTTTAGTATTCAAAATACTGCTAAAGCTTTACTTGAGGGGGCATAAATACTTACTAGTAACTCAATTACTACTAAAGCACAAATCATAAACAACTATAGTCACACTTTAGATAAACGATGCATCGATATTTCATTAATACGAACAAAGACGAGATGAGTACTTCACTTGCGTTATTCATGACTTGTTCCTTCAGTAGTTACTTCAATGGTCCACTAAGATTTACAGAATTAACAGTTATAGTAACCAATCTATCAACTGCTTGGGATAAAAGATGCGTCACAATTCATTAACGATTAACAAACATGAGATCAGTATTTTACATGTGTTATTCGTGTTCCTTCAGTAGTTCCTTAGCAGTTCACAAAGGTTTACGCAATTAAAAGATATAGTAAATATAGTACTTGCTTGAGATAAAAGAATAGTGAAAATTCATTAATGATGAATAAACATAATATCAATATATAACTAAGATTTAGATTGTGGTTAATTAATACATTAGTAATAGCATAAACGTACATTATTTGTGCCCCCTCAAGTAAAGTCTTAGCAAAATATTTAATCGGCGTATTTACGAGAAAACACGTAAAAGCTGGTAAAACAGCTGCATACTAGGATGAGACTCACCCTCATCGCTGTCACTGACGGCTGCGGACTTGCTGGACTGTCCGAGACCCATGCTGCTCTGTGCCGATCCCCCAGCTCATCTGCTACGATACGGAGCCGCAGACCTGCAATCCTACCTGCACAGATGAATGCGACTTTCAAGACACGGAAAATCAGGATAAACATGTTACCCCAGCTACATTACGGTTTATATTCAAAATGCTGGTCAAATAACACGTGTTGTGTCTCCTATCGCCCGCAGCTTCCATACGAAAACTTCCTCACCTGCCCATCAAGGCGTGGAGGCTCCGACAGAGCAATGAGATGTGAAATAGGATAGGGGTTAGCGCAAACCTTAATGTTCTTATTTGCATTTTGCCCTCCCAAAACAAACGCCCTACCGCAACTAACCCCCAATATACTGTATGGCACTAAATTAACGATACCGCCACAAAAACTGGAACTTCATCCGCTTGCACGAAGCTCCATAAATATGCAGGACACGAATATCCAAGTCAATGATTTTTTATTTTTTTTTTACAACCGCTCGCCTCGCTGCCGAAGTTCCATGAACATTATTTGCGCTGGTTAAGTTGCGTCCTTCCCGAGATGAATTTGATATTGCGGCGAGAGGGACGCGCCTCCGCACGCGCTACACTAGAGCGCGAGACACGCAAGAGGCGCAATCATAACTACGGGGATAAAAGCATCCCCCCTCCATACCTACACCATGCATGCAATGCACACAAAACTTTATGCAAAGTTACCGGCTGACCGATTTTAAAAGCTATTTCCATATAACCTTGCGGAGGTCATAAACATCTCTCATGCACCTTTCGTTATTTAATCAGAGGAACTCCCCAAATTTCAATGGATAGAACAGATTAAAACCGCACTGATGAATGAATGCTGAAGGACAATATCCCTTTATATAACAATACAGAACATACGTGTATTATACGTACCTGTACTGGCGCACTGGTTTGTCACAGTAAACACATATATCCAAATAAATACAACCCGAGAAGCGACTCGTTCTCCCGAGCATCATCCAGACCCCCCCCTTTGGCGCGAGGAGCAGCTGAACTCGCGTGCCTGGTGGGAGATACGCTGACGAGTCCCTTGGGATGTGGCTCCGCTTTCTCTGTAACTTGGGCGAACTGCAAGAGAGACGTGAGCTCTGGCACCGGGTAACTGGGATCCAGCAATATCACAATAACAACAACCGACTGAAACACTGATAAACGTGATCAGCACACAGGCTGCCACAGAATATTTATCGGACTATGTCACGCTGTGCTGTAGTGTGTCGCCAATCATCGATGGGGGAACTTACAATAACCTCAGCACCTACAGTATATTTGGCATTTAAAGAACATTAAGCAGAAGCCCGTATTTTTTTCACACAAAAAAAGCAAAACATAGGTGAGATTTTAAAGAACGACAGTTAATCGACAGAAAAACAGTCGATGCAACGTACCAGAGCAATAACGCGATATTATGAGGATGGCACTGGATATGCTTCGATTTTTAAAAGTTTCCACCCATATATATATATATACACATACATATCATTAATTGGTAGTGCATATTATGTGTGTACATATTGCTTATTTATATATTTGTTAGATTTAAGATAGTATATTTTTTGTTTTTACTTAACTGGTTTTACATAAACCAATGCAAAATCTCAGGAGTGATTCAGGGTTACGTTTTAATGCATGATGTACGTGTATAACTATGCATGTGACAAATAAAACGTCTTAAATAAATGTCAGTTTTTTTCCCGATGACGAAACTAATAGGCGTGGTTCAAAAGAACATAAAGCTCATTAAAGTCAGCCTGCGACTCACCCAACACTGCGCAGTCCCCAAGGCTTGTATATCAAATAAAGAAGACGAGGAACATTGCTATGTAATCTCCATAAAGTGCATTCATCTATTGCAAACTGCCCGGCAGCTCTTAATTGCACAGGTCAAGGTTGTGTGACCGTGGCACGGTTTTTGCTTACTGTGCACGCTGCCCTCGAACCATCCAAAAACGATTTTATTCTATACACTCAAAAAGTTCCACTGAAACGGATCTCACCTTTAATAAAGGAAGGCAACTTACGTGTAGTACAGGCGGAGCGTGAAGGTATTAAAACCTACTTTTAATAACGCTTTTTGCATTTAACGCGATTTCTACTTTTAGCTTTGTATATATTTCTACCAAGTTGTAAGCCGTCATTGAATGATTTTTTTAAGTGAAAGGAATGACCTCGTTTACTGCGCTGATTCATGCATTTCGGTCAGTTTGTTCAATGAGTAAATCATCGTTCATTTCGAACACGAGCAAGATCAGGATGATGACCGAGAAACTCTCTCTTTCGCCACACACTGGTATAGTGACCTATGCATATCTGAAGGAGTAAGCATGGGCAATTAATGTCATTAAGTTCAATATAGAGTACAATAAGTAAATAAAGAAAATCATGAAATATATAGGCCTAACAACATACAATAAATATGCAGCATTCGTGATTATATAGGCCTAGTCATGTATAATTAAGCGCAATTACAATAAAATGCAAATTTTATAAAAAAATAAAAGGCACCGCTTAGGAATCATTTATTTGAAAATAATCCATTCCCTGAAAGAATCGTAATTTTCACTTTTTCACGTCAACATAAAACTTAAAAAGTTCATATGAATAGCACGGAATGGAACTTCTGCCACCTAGTGGACGAACAATGCTAATATTATCAGGAATATTTACCCAAACAGGAGGAAAATTAACATTATACATATCGCACAATTAAATAATCAACATAATATAAAGGTATTACATTATCAGACTTGCATCCTCCATCAATCTATCTTCCAAGTGCTTATTCTGGTTCCAATTTCGTATTTATAGCGGAAGAAATTACTTTCTCAGACTTAAGTGTTTATGTCTCAGATTCGTGGAAAATTGGGAACATTCTTTGCGGAGGACGAAGCTAAAGACATTCGTGGCCAAACGTCGCTAGCATTTTTAAAGTACATTCTTTTGAAAAATGGTGTCTCTGGGCGCAGATTGTATGAAATGCCTGAATATTTCTTCCTTCCTCTCATCAGTTATGAGTTTTCAGTATTGCTGACTAGAGGTAACTGAGTTAAAGTCTGAAATAGTATTAAATATGTGAGGGGATGACAGTCTGAATCCAACCCTAGCGGGACTTTAGTCACAGACGACTTTACCAGGGTGCAATTGCACCCCCTACAGGCCACATGAAAATATTGCGCCCACAACCGGAGTGCGCAGATGCTACAGCTCGGCCCACAAGTTTCAGGAGGTAAGGGGTGTGATCAGTAACCTCCGTTTTATTTAGGAGAACAAATCAGTGCATACTCCATGCAATAACTGGACTTATGCTCGCAGTGTTAGAGGGATACAGCCACATTTGGGAGTGACTTGCAAATGTACATTTTCTGTTGTGAAAGGCGTGTATGTCCTGGATTATGCTCATTTGGTGGCTGGCATCATTTTTCCAAACGTGGCTAATTTGTGGGTTGTTTCTATTTAAACTACAGGTAGCGTGAAATTAGTTGTGTCTGTATGTATTGTCTTTTTCACAAACCTCGCGAAACTAATTTCTTGTCCTGTAGGATCAGGTCATTACTGTGGATAACGAAGGCGTTGGACCACCAAGACAGCACAGTGACTTAAGGCAATACCTCCCTTTGCTGCATATCTACAACACAATAACATCTACAATAATTTTCTGGGATAACGTGCCACTATATAAATAATGAAATGGAAACAGTTTGTGTCAGGATTATGTGTATTAATATGCAGCTTGTATGTATCGATTGTCTTTGATAGAACCACGTTATTTCACTGTTATTCTCTTAATATCCTTTAGCGTGAACCAAAGAATTATTAGAAAACGTATTCAGTTACGAGCGTACGAGCCGTCTCACACCTCTGGGACCTCAGACGTCCGAGTCTCCTCCTTGGCTCCTTTTATGGAGTTTGGATATTCTCCCCGTTTCCTCCGAGGGAAATTTTGAAGTTACCAAATTGTATGAATGTGTTATCAGAAGGTGTGAACGTGTGAACGTGGTGTGTGTCTACGCCCTGCGATGGGTTGGCACCCTATCCTAGGTTGTTCCCTGTCTTGTGTCTGTAGCCTCCAGGGGCCTGTTTCACAAAGCAGGATTTCTTGCTTAGCCAGATAACTTGCCAGATTTAAGGTAGTCTGGGCTAAATAGACCTTATTTTCATCAACTTACATTTAGCCCAGACTACCTTAAATCTGGCAAGTAATCTGGCTAAGCAAGAAATCCTGCTTTGTGAAACAGGCCCCAGGATAGGCTCTGTACTGATGCTGAATAGGACAAGCAGGTACAGAAAATGGATATATTAATCTATGCACACTCATAATGTTAACTTTATCATATTTAGCTACAGAATGCAAACGCAACTTTTAATACAAGTTAATCCTCAAGTACCGTAAAATGTCGTAATTATATAGAAGAAACATAGTCTAATCAAGAATGAAAGAGAAACGATAACATTAAAACGTGTGACCACATCCGGAGCTCTTGTCAGCGGAAAGTAGTTTGTACTGCAGCAATGAAATCAGAGTGATAAAACGTACTTTATGATCCGGAAGGAAATAAGTTAGAAAAGCAGTGTTTCAAGTTCCAGTTCAAGCTCCAGGAAGAATCTTGTCGTAATGTTAGTTTTGAAAAAGTAAATGTATGTGAATTGAACTGTCAGTGAAGCAACTAAATATAATTCAGTGACAGACACGCACAATCACCACCAGGTGGCAGGTGTGGGGAAAAAAAACTTTACACAGTACTAATATAAAATAAAGGAGTATTAACGCTTTGTAATAATATGACATATTGCGATCCTTACCACTTCTCTGAAAATCTGTGGTTTTATACCACAATAAATTTGTTATATAGATAAGTTATAAATATATTTATATGCAACCATTCGACGCCATTATTTCATACATTTACATTCAACTTTTAAACATAAATTGTAGGCCTATTTAAAACAAGAGCATAAAAAATCTTGCAATAATGTCAACTGTAAAGATACATTGCCTTGCACACAGTTGTTTTTCTTTTCACACTTAAAGCGCTCTAGCATCTGATTAACCACACAAACTGCGGGTAATAATTTTGTGGAAGAGCCTTTGAAAGCACTTTGACCAATTTAATGGAGAAAAAAAAAACACCTACACAGATGCGCCCATTACCGACGACGGGAAATGTAGTCCTATTTTCGGGAAACTACATAATAACCTATGGAGGAAAAACTACAAATTCAACATGGCTACGGGGCTGGCTGTTAACCGTAGGGTGGGGCTTGTCTGTTGTGCGCTGAGTCGGACCAAGAGCTTTAGCTGAGATCAGTTTGTAGCAGGTAGAAACAGTAAGGAGCTTTAAGAAAGGGAGTCAATCCAGAGGTCAGCTTTTATTTTGCGAAAAAGAAGAGCTCTGTACGGTGAAACAATGCAGAATAACGCGAGCTGTGTTAAGTGAAAAGATTTAAAGTTATTTTGCTGTACTTTTATATAATTTACCATTATTGCCATTAGAATATTTCTAAATATTGAAAGTGAGCTTGATACAAGTTGTTCGTAGTGAATGAAAGGCAGTCAAAGGCTGGAGTTTGGGTAGTCATTGGAAAGTTCACAGTGGAAAGTTTTTTTTTAAGTTTCAAGGCGTCGGCATGGCTTTTGCTAAATTCAGCAAAATACTTCGACTGTCTAATAACGATAAAAAGAAAGCAAAGCAATATGAGCACGTTCGCCGGGACATAAATCCTAATGATATTTGGGAAATCGTGGGAGAACTCGGCGATGGAGCTTTTGGGAAAGTTTACAAGGTAAGAAAGCGGTTTGAATGTCTGAATGTGGGACTTGACCGGCTGATTTAACTACTTTCTGGATATAACACGCAAAGCTGTATCTCGTAATTTCACGCCTTTGTCAGATAGACGTAATTTTAAGATGAACACATCAGAATTGCCCATTATAAACTTAAGATCTTGGCGCTGGTTATGCTGCCTGTTTTAGTTTATTGTACTAAATGCGCACCTGAAAGCGACTTACCGCTGCTGTCAAAACACAAGTCCCGTGGAGATCTATTAACACAGCGGGTATTTTGGGGTTAATCGGGGTCGAAAATGGGAAGCAAACTACCGTACTTAAGTATATATAAAAAAAGCATAAATGAATAAGATCGTTGTTAAACGCTGTTAGTGTACCGTTACGTTATTTTGGGGATGTAGGGCATGGTCAGCCGAGACTTACTGAAGGTGTTATGCCAAAAAACGCATCCCTGCCTTAGAATGCATGCCGGTGTTCCGACGAGTTGAGCTTTTAAGGGTCTTTTTTAGGGGTTAGGGTTTTAGGGGTGTTTTGGGGGTTAGGACTAGGGTTTTAGGGGTGTTTTGGGGGTTAGGGTTTTAGAGGTTTTTTGGGGGTTAGGGTTAGAGTTTTACGGTTTTTTGGGGGCTATTGATTAGCACTACGCTAGCCTTACTCGACAAAGTAGTTCAACTCGTTTCAGATAAGCGACCAATCGGTCATTTAGAGACAACAGGCATGCATTCTACGGCAGGGATGCCTTTTTCGGCATAACACCTGCGTCTGGCGTCCGTATCTTCTTGCACCTGTTCTAGGCGTTTTAAATGGGGATCAATAGCTGGCAATTAAGCGCCTTTCTATTAATCGCCTTGTCGATTATAACAACTAAAAGTCATCTAGGTGGCACGTGTGACACGATTTTTTCTAGACCGAGTGTAGAAATTCTAAACTTCAGTAGTACTGAACTATTACTTTATTCAGTAGACTAATACCAACATTTAATCAATGATTATTTTAATGAATGTGTCACACATATTCTAACCATAATATGGAAGAGTTAAATACGGAGGGCTATTCTTGATGAATACCGTAATGGTATCTAGACGCAAATGGTATTACTCATTGTTTCATTTGCTGAAATATTGGAAATTAATTCCTCCTTGCTTGCGCACTCTCCTTGTTAACTAAGTCATCCAAGCTTGAAAAACATGTTTTGAATAATTGATTGATGTATTACGTTAAGTAAAACTGGTTTGTCCTTGAAACGCGTTCATCACAGTAAATGTGTTTGTATTTATTTGGTACTTATCGGCATGGCAATAGAATAATGAACTTTGAAGAAAAGAAACATTTAGACTTTCTTTTGATATTTGGTGCCGTGTTTATAGATAAATAGGATAATCTATAAGATAATAGGATAGGATAATCTAATCCAACTATACACCTGTTATATACACCATTCCTTCAGTGCTGGGATTGACTTTACACAGATTTGTTGAAATTGCATCCTAGCAGGAATGCAAGGCGTGATCCTTCAGACCAGTCCGTCATCAGTGATCTCGGGGTTTTGTCGTGGGCGAGACCCATCAGGAAGACCCCACCCTAAGAATTCATAAACTGGGAGGGGACGGGGGTGAGGAAAGGGAAAGGAATCTTTAATTTCGACATGTGTCATGAGATCAGAGATGAGATCTGATTCTTTCCCGTAAACATCTGCCGGCAGAGGAGCACAATGACATGGACAGACCCAAAAGTAACACACCCCTAATACTCTGCATGCCATTAGACCTTTTTTTTTGTTTTGGGCTCTCTAAACTTGCAGATCATGGTGTGTCACAGTTTTTTTAATGGCGTATTGTTTTAGCTTTGTGGACGTACAGTTAAAGCAGTAATTTTGCATGCTGGGGGTGGGGCAAAGATATTCTGCCTGGGTCTGTATTCTGGTCACGCTTGGTGCCAGTGTGGTTAAGGTCTGCTGTGCCCAATTCCGGTTCCTCTGAATCGAGAAGGATGTGATTCACTTCAGCGCAGTGCGAAGGCCTGAGAACATCATGAAATTACTTATTAGAGGACACTGTCTAAATTTGAGGCAGCAGTGACAGCATCGTGCTTTTACTTCTCAGTATTTCACATTATACATCTTACAAAGGGCTGGCTGGCTTTTTTTGTCGTCTGAAGAACCACGTTGACGTTGTGGTGTGTTTATGGTTGCGGTTCACACGTGGAACGCCCTTCTGGAACAGGTTACTTCTGCTAAGAGAATAACATAAAGCGAAAATAAAACCTTGCCAATGTTCTTTACAGAATGGGGGCATTTTAAAAAGACCGTTTTAGGTTCAAAGATCAGGCCATTGTACCTTTGCGACTGGACTTTAAAGCAAGCTGTTGCAATACAGTTTTGGTTGTATTAATGGATTTTTTAAGTATTCAATGGCTTTGGTTGAGAGAGTCTCAACCATCAAGGAATATGAATTTCTGTAGGATATCTTTGCTGACTGTTGCACTGAGATGTGCAGTTGCTCTGTGTCAGGATTTTCCACACCATGTTGGAGAGTCTTCCAACAGCACAATCCTCTCCTACACCAGTAATATACTTTTTTTTTTTTCTCTTTTGCTGATTCTGCTTAAAAGTGAGTAAAGAGAAACTTCACCCCTATGTTCTGCTCTCATGGTCTTTATCGTGGCGTAAAATTGGCATTTCTAGGTCGGCACACCCAGAATGCCTTTCGGTGGTGTTTCACAGCCAAGTTTATTCCTGTTCTTGGGTTGACTCGCATTATGAAATAAAGGATTCCCTGAGTTGAGGTTGGTGGTTACAGACCCGCTCTGTACAGTCTAAAAGGGAATTTGTGGTGTTTAGACACAGCGAGATTTATAATTCGTCCTCTGAGAGACGGGGTGACGTGTATGCATCATGCAGCAGTATTTAAAGTCCCTCTGGAGTCTCTGAGAATCGCGGTCCTGCTGCAGTCGATATTAAGCAGTTAAAGTAGCCCGACAAAGCAACTCGTATGAGAGGCCAGCAAGGGTCCGACCATCTAACCACAGGCACACTTTTATTACAGAGAAATGCCGTTAATTAAAATTATTTTGTGCTGCAAATTCGCTGTCTAATACTGGGCTGCTGTTATGATTGTTGAACAGATGCTAATCGGTGAGCTACTGCGTACTAGTTTCGGGTGGGGATCCGCTAAACTGGATTTCTCCGTTGCTTAAGCTAGAAGTCATAATTATCCAATAGGAATTAATTGCCTTAGCTAGACTCTTATTGGACAATCATGACTTCTAGCTTAAGCTAAGCCTACCATGTGCCTTAATCGTGTATAGTGCCGTGACTCAGGCTCTGCGCTCCCACACTGCCTTGCAGATTCAGCCCCCCAGGGTCGTGCCTCTAATCACGGTCCCCAGTTGCACCCGGGGGCATTTTGATAAGAGGCGCCTTGGGTGGGGGCGGACAGGACGCGACAGGCTTCACGCCCCGTCCAGATCACCGCCGGCCTGTGGCAGGCCCCAACATGCCGGCACGTGTCAGATGTAGAGTTTATTTTCCGCAGCTCTGAGTCTAGAGGCTTGCTGGGTTCCTCTAATGCACGTGGTTTGTATTTTGCAACCGTACATGCAACTGTTGGCTGTAGAGCGCGTCCAGCGAGACATTCGAAGAAGGCTTGGTTCAACTTCGGCCATTGCCAGGTGTCTCTCCTCTCCCCAGCCAGCAGCTGCCAATCAAGGGATTCCACACGATTTCAGACTCACCCAGCATACCCAAATACCCACCCCAAAATGGCATCCTGGCAACCCTGTAACACACTGTGCTCGTGCCAAAAATACCTTAAATGCAATGGGCACCATTTCTCTTGAACTAAGTCTACTTCTGAAGTCTTAATGAATGCTTTCGATGTTTTATTTATTGCAATATACTTTTCTTTTGTGGCGAAAGTCTAACGGTTAGCCTTTTCTCAGAAGTTGCCCTCGGTTACGTAAGATGAAATGAACTTGGGAAAATGGGTGTGGGTTCAGTGTGAGTGGGTCGGAGGGGGAGGGGCAGGACTATATTGTCAGCAATGGAAACTTCTTGCAAGTCACAGGACTCTTAATGCCATTTTCCTGACCTCCAGATGCGATACAGCCGCTGCTGTTCGATCTGAGCCGAGCCTGGGGTATTCTGGGAAAGACTGGTGAAGGTGCGTCTCGAGGCGGCCAACCGTGAACGGAAATGGACGGACTGCAGGTCATGCTCTGTCACAGCTGCATATAAACCTCTGCCTTAGATGGGCCTATTAGTGACTGCAGCAGTCCTGCTGGGTCTTACTGTTTTGCCCCATTATTCAAAGTTCCAGAACTGGAATTCTGGGACTGCAGGTGTTTCATTCTCGTCCTTAGACACTCCGCGAATTCAGCATAGGAATAACATGATTGCCATTTTTATTAGCATCTTCTGAGAAGTTGTTAGCTTTTTTTTTTTGGCATGTTCAAAGAGTCTTACTGGCCCCCTGACCGAGTTCCAGATTTTAATGGTAATAAAACCTGAGCCCTGACAAACCTTGAAATTCTTACCGTCGTTATTCTTCGGCAGGAACAAGCCTACAAACACTTTTTATGGAAGAATTTCAATAAATGTTTAGCATGAGTTGCACTATAAACTCATTCACGGTACATCAGCCTTACATAAACTTTCCTGGCCTCAGAGTGATATCATGGTGATTATTCATGACAGTAAATGTTAAAGTTTGCTTTATCTGGGGCTAGTTTATTAATCCAGTAATGTGTAGTGGATCCAGAGCAATATTTCCTGTCTATATTTATGTAAATAGGTTACTTCTCTAATATTTAAGCAGTTGACTGAACTAATGTATTCTAATCATTAAATATCAGTGGGGTAAAAAAAAGCAGAGCCTTTTATGTGTTTTGGTGAAATCTGTTTTTTTTTTTTTTCTTTTTGCATCTTAAAAATGGTCGAGTGTACGCTAATGGTCATTTAGCCGTTATTTGATAATGCTTCTGAGAGGCAATTTATGTGTGTGTCATCAAGATGGCATAATTGGATGACATCCGCGTATAGCCAGTGGCGTTCAGTGGTTTTTAACGTTATCCGGGTGGGCGGTCTTTATCCCCATGTGGGAACAGTGATCTTCCTCAGTCTCATTTCCGGGAGGTTCCATCCTGGTCTTATTACGGGAGAGCTGTCTGGTTTTTTCACACAGTCCCTTGGGGCGGGTGATGTTATTTCTGAACCTTGATGGTCGGCACTTGCGTCTGGGTGGTACTTTTCTAAAGTGGGCGGCCCAGGGTGGGGGGGCAAAGTTGGAAGCTAGTCATGGTGTCAGGATGGGGTCAAAGGTGTGAAGCAGGATTGCCTGAGAATGTAGACGGGGTAGTGGAGGAATATGCCTGCGGGTTGCAGGCTGGAGACTGACACTTACTGGGGGTTGGAGGAAGTATCGAGTAGCTCATTGACACGCACGCCGCATGCCTTCTGCGGGGGGGGGGCAGCTCTCACGCGTGACACTCGCGCTCTATGCCTCTCACACAAGAAATCTTATGGCAAATCTATATTATTCCATGACAAACCTAAAATTAGCCACATCAAAAGCGTTGGAGCAGTTTCCAAACCATACAGACTATTTGCAAGGTAATAAAAACTCTTACATACATGTAAATGCGTGTGCGGGTGTGTGCTTAAAATCTCACTCCAGCCAGCTGACCAACGTCGGCGGCGGCCGGTGATGGGAGGGACTTCCTGGGTTGTCTCTCTGGGTTGGTGGAGGACGGACCTGCACATGCCGACCACTATGTTTATCCAGATGCTTTCCCACGGGACTGTTTAGTCTGAGACCGAACTGTTCCTGCAACGTTCCTCCTTCTGTCCCTTTCCCATCCTTCTTTCAAACCCTCAGACACCATGACCCCCCACCCCCCCGATATTAGATCATATCTCACCCAAACTGTGGTCCGCTATTTAGACTCTGGCCTCCTGAGCGATTTGGGGCACCTAGCTGCTTTCGTATCGCATGCGCATGTGATTTGCTTTTTCTCACTCGCGCGTCGCTTTGGCCAGAATCGCCTGCTAAATAAAAACAAATGTAAGTGTAAACCATGCACCCTTTCTGGGAGAATGTTCCGGGCATTTTTTTTCCAAAGCCTCCAGACTGAGAGGCCGTGGAGGATTTCCTGTCTCGTCGTGTTCAAACCAGCGATTCACTTTCCTAGTCCTGATGAAGCGACTGAAATGAGGAATCGGGAACTAAGTCTTCAGCTGCTGTTTTTTTTTTGTTAATATTTCGTCTTCGCCTCGCTGGGGTTCCTCCTTGGCTGTGGTAGGGTGTGCGTTTCCTCTCCTGTTGTGCTCTTAAAATGTGGCTAAGCGAGATGTTAATTAGATTACTTTTGTGGCGCAAGACTCTCAGCTCTTGTTTCCACTGGGCGCTGGCCCCTCGGAGCAATGCGTTAAACTCCGATGGCTTCCAGAACCTGGAGGTTGTTGTGAATTTTTACGCTGATGTCAGTCCTTCTCTCATGTGCCAGTTGCAGTTCACATCGTTCATTTTAGACCCCCGAGAAACGGAAGTGTGAAGAGAGTCTGTTTGTCGTCGTCACCAATGAGGGCGCGGGTCGTGTACTGAGGTCACGTCACGTCTGTGGTTGTTCTGCAAAAAATGTCGAAACGTTCGCTGGTGCACCGGTCGTGGAAACCATGGGTAACTTTTGGAGCGTCTTTAAGAGTGCATCGTTAAGAACGACCTACAAATAACCGAATGCACACCGAAAAAACTTTATTAATGATATATTAATTAATATAGCATTTTATTAAACAAAAGGTTATCTGACTTTTCCAAAAGCATGAGCACATGACTTAATGTCACCCCTCCCCCATTGTATGAGCTCAGCTTGTTCAGATTGCTAAGCTGAACAATTGTTCATTCACGGCCAACATGCTCGATGTTCCTCATCTCCCTGTTGAACCGGAAAATGGCGGCATCGGCGAACAGACGGGCCCGATCAGCGTCGATCGAGTCACCGGTCGTGCCGGTGCCGCCCTGCCGTTCCCACAAAGTCGATCGGCCGCCTTTAATGACCATGTGACCTCTCTCATCAGGCCAAGAACAAGGAGACGGGGGTGCTGGCTGCCGCCAAGGTGATCGATACCAATAACGAGGATGAACTGGAGGACTACATGGTAGAAATCGACATCCTGGCGTCCTGCGATCACCGGTACATCGTCAAGCTGCTGGACGCCTTCTACCACGATAACAAGCTATGGGTGAGTCGGCGACGCGGGAGGGACTGTTCCGGTAGCTGAGAGCCTGGTTAGCGAGTTCCGATTTGTTGGTTGTACCAGTGGTTCTCAAAATGTCGCACATGCCCCACCAGTTGTACCCGGAGCGCCCCCCCCCCCCCCCCAGTGGTATGTAAGACTGTGGTAATTTGTTACCCGTGATCCTGTTTCACTTATGTGGTACTTGGTTTGATCCAAAGTGGTACTTGGTCAAAAAAGTTTGAGAACTGGATTGCTTAGGCAGTACTGAATGTTTCATTTCTCAAAATATTGTTTATTTGTTAAAGCCCTTTGTCACACTCTTTTGCACCAACCCACTCTGGCGAAAAATGATACACTGGGTCAGTGTTCCTCAACCTGGTCCTCAGGAACCCCCAGACCGTCCACATTTTTGCTCCCTCCCAGCTGCCTGTACCAGGTGTTCTGTGTTCTTGATTGGCTGGGAGCTGGGAGGGAGCAAAAATGTGGACGGTCTGGTGGCCCCCTGAGGACTGGGTTGGGAAACGTGCTCTAGGTGGTCAGATTAATCATTACTCTTCCTACATTATAGGGAACCCCCGCCCCCTCACGCCCCCTTGTGTCTTTCGTTTTTGGGGGGGAAGCGCAGGCCTCCCTTCTCCTTGAGTCATAGAACATTCTGGCCAGCCATCACAGGACAGGACCCCACATGATGAATCACCCTGTTTGTTGTCCACGGAACCGCAAAATGCCGCCCCGATAGTGATATGCCAAGAGCGATGGCCCTCGCCACGTGTCCACTGGCATTGCCCACGATTGCGGCCCATTGCCAGCGAGCCTGAGCCCTTACTCAGGATGGGCACGCCTGGATCACTTACACCGTATGAGTGTTCTTGCCCTACAGTAAAGATGTCTCCCTTTTACTATGCTTGCATGCTTTTTTTTACCATGGTAAAAACAAGGCAACACATCCTGGAAAAGTGAAATTACACAATGTCCCTGTTCCTCTTCAGATTGGAAAATTATTCCAGTTGTTAATGCCTGTTTTAATGAATGTGGTTTTGCTCTGGATTAGTGGTACACGTATTAAACAGTGTAAACTTTACTCTTGTTATGCACTGCCATGTTATGTCATTGCCAAAGCAAACCAGTGAGTTCATGCTTTTAGCATTGCTGCTACGATGATGTGGGAGAAAATGAATGAAGAGCCTTTCTCCACAAAACTCTGAGCGATTACCCCCCCCGGAATGAACCGCAGGCTGTATATCACTCTGAACCTGCGCTTTGGAACCTATGTGCAAAGTCATAAATTCACAATGTACAGATCTTACAAGTCCCTGGTATGCAAGCAACACATTTTTTTTGCTTTACGCAAAACCTAAATAAGACATGTGGTGCAGTGCTTGATTCCGTTTTTTTTTTTTTTACCCTGTTTATATGTTAAGAAGGCATGGTTTTCATAACTATGAACGACTCTGTGAAAGATGAACAGAATTCCTGGTATTAGGAAGTTAAACGAGATAAACGAGAAGCGGCTTGTACAAATACGGTTTAGACTTTCAAACCAAAGGGTTTTTTTGTTTGTTTTGAGACCCCAGCCTTCGTTGGGTTTTCGTTTGCACACTGTAAAGCGATCTGGCGTGTTTGAACTTCACTGCAGCTTCCCCAAGGCGCCTCGAAACCTCGTGACAACCTGGCCGTAGGTCCGGTGGCATAGGGCCACGCCGGTCATCTGTCTGCTTTGGGCGTCACCGCAGGGGGCTTCGTAAGCTTATCGTTTTGGCGTCTCTGTGGATTAAACGGGCACCAAGAAACCGTATGAAAATAATGCACGAGTAGCGTCTTTAGCTACGCTCTGGGCGAGGTGGCGCGCCAACGAGACGGGATCGTGGGCCACGTGAGACAATGCTAGCCTGCCATCTGTCTCTGTAATAAACGGCGACGAGGCGGGCATGTTTGCGAGTCGTCTTTTGGCAGAGACTACACATTCTTGCACCCGACCGTGCCCTGGAGAGGGAATTTTTGTCCTCGTTTGACAACAGTGTGCACCGGAAGCACCGAAATACCACGTACTTTTGGATTTTGCCATTTCGAGTGGCTCGTAAAACCGACTACGTGATAGTTCAGTCGGCGATGGAAAGCGAGCGTAGGGAACTTGGCGGAGAAGGCACTATGGCATGAATGTTTGCCTGGTAACTTTTTATTTAAACGTGGTGATGAGTATTTTTTTCAGCAGCGTTTACAAGTCGGTTGACTACGCAAAACTAGCTCCGAAACGTTGACGATGAAGCAGTCGTCACTCCGTCTCTTCCAGGGTAATGAAATACACACGTATGTTCTCGCCTGTTAATTTTCTGTCGCTCTACTCTGTTTATTGTAACCGAAGCTGTTAGATATACAGCTGCTGTTTTTTTTTGGGTTTGTTTGATGCCTAGTAGAGGTGACCCATGTCTCGCCAGAAGTAAAACCTCTTATTGCTTTCAATGCTATCTAAAGATCAGCTCTCATCCCTGTTGTTTTTCACCGCGGTCAGATTGACACGCCTCTTCAGCAGGCAGAAATGCATATCGTCGTCTACAGCGTCTGGAAATGATGCGTATAAGAACCCCACAGTCACGAGGCCGTAAGAAGAGCACAAAAGAAAATCTACTAGTGTAAAATGGAAGATTGGAATAAAGCCCCGATATCAAGAGGCGGCTTATTAAACCAGCCTTCAGCTGTCAACTTTCATCCAAATCAACGTACGTCCCAGGAGCGACTGGTTAAAGGCCTTACTTAGGGGTCCTATAGTGAAATCATTCCGCCAACCATGGGATTTGAACTGATGACCTTCTGATCACAGGCACAGATATTGGATAAGAGAACCTTCACTGTTTGGAACAAACACAAAATGCATAGCTTGCATTGTATAACTCCAGTGACTGGGGTTGCTACTCTAGTATTTGCAACATCTATGTCAGGAGTGTGACAGCAGGACAGTTGGCGTTTTCATCGGGTAGTTATGATAATAATAGTCTGAGTGATAAACAGACGTGTGACGCCGAGAGTGATGTCACCGATCGGCCGCTGTACTGTACGTCTCATCTCCTAAGCCTCCGTCTTTAAAAGCAAACCAACGCCCGCAGTGCTGGAGGTGTGACGGACGGAGGAGAGAGAGGAGTCACCGAGTGTCACCGGGCCCCGGGTCGCGCCATTGTGCCAGGCATGCGGCCCGACCTGCTGAGCCGCCTCACCTCAGTGACATACAATAATGAGTGGTGACATCTGGAATATTCTAAGAATCTCAGAATCTGAGTTCCTAACAAGGTACTTAATATCCTCCTGTTTTGGAGTGTCTTTGAAAACCTTCCTGAGCATTTTTATTCTTAATAAAAATAGCACCTTATATTTAAATGAGACTTATGTATATTCAATACAGTTATAATATTAATACATTCTGACCCAACTCATAACATTGCACCTGCTTATTTATGTTCATTGTAATGTGATTATGCCTCAAAAATGTCCTGTCCGCTGCAAGGTCTGTAAAAGTCTGACCTGTAAAGATTCTGGGGGTGCGGTTTACTTCCTATGCCGGGATAACGAGCTCCTGAGAGAGCTGTGTTTGTGCGAAGCCTTAGCGGGTGCTAATTGCCTGCTCTGTTGTCGGTGCCGGAGGCATCTCCGTGGGGGGGGGGGGCGCTCGTCATGGCAACACGGTGCAACGGCGCCGGTCGTCTGAGCAGGTGGTCAGAAGTCAGGCACCTGGTGGACGACCGTACCCGAGCGGCGGTCAGTCTGTGAAAAGGACCCCATTTGTTGCATCTGAAATCTAAATTCATGCGTGATTCAAGTCACTACGACTTTCCTAGAAATATGGATCATGCAAGCTGATCCCAAAAGTGTCCCTTTACTGTCCCCAAATGCTTCTATCTCACCTCCACCCTACCAGAGTCGGCTAATCATGGATTGGCAACTAGCTCATTATAGTACCTGGTGGTGGAGCAGAAGTAATTTGTAAATATCTCACTCTCCTTGATTGCAATGTATTACAAATCCTGTATTCATTCCCGCATCCCTTACAGAGAAATGCATTCATGTGCGCAGTGTACATTCACTAACCACACATGTGCAATCTGGACACACCTACGGAAAATCATTTGGTCTTCAACAAGATACCATCCCTAAGCACACGTCCAGGTTATGTAAGCACTGCATTATCTTGTGAACAGTAAAAGAGACAGAGTGCTGTGACAGATGACCTGTCGTCCCCGCCCCCTACAATCCCCCCACCTGAACCCTATACAGCTGGTTTGGGATGAGTTGGATCAAAGAGTCAGAGCAAGGTAGCCGACTTGTGCCCAGAACTTGTGGAAACTCCTTCAGGCCTGTAGGAGAAGCATCCCAGGTGGCTACATCTGGAAGCTGGGTGAATGAATGACAAGAGTCTGCAGCGCTGCCGTCGAAGCAAAAGGGGGCTGTTTTGAAGAGTATAAAATTTTACAAAAACTTTGAGAAGCTGAACACTTCTCTTACAGTATTCGATATGTATTACTTCGTTGCCTCAAGGCCTTTTACTATAAGGTGAATAACGGAGCTAAAACAGACACAAATGCATTAAAAGCAGGTGTCCAGACCTTTGACTGGTAGCTTGTACCAACCGGACTGTGTATGACTGTTGCCTCATCTTGCATTAACTGTATGTATGAGAGCCATTGACAGCTGAGATGCTACTTGGCCAAAAAACCCTTATTCTGATGCTGTAAGGAATGACTGAGCTGCTCCAGTGGATGACTGGGGCTCCAGTGCTTTATATTTTTACTACCTTCAGCCCTCTAGCCTCCTAAACCTCAGGCAGCATGTTACTATCTCTATGCTTCTTGATCAGATTTCCCAGGAAGAGTCCTGCTGTGCCACTCAAAAAGCAAGACATCTTTCCCCCGAGTAAACGTGGTTGAAAGAGAAATATATCAAGCTATGCAAATACAAACCTCTAAGGCAGCATAATTAACACGGAGGAGGAAGTAAACGTTGAAATCGCGAGGTGTCGGATGGCGAAATTATGAGCTCGGGCAAGAAGGGGATTTTACAAGTTCTGCTATGACCTTATTTTTATTTTTTTAAACATCCTGCATTGTTTCAGATGTAATCTTCATGGGTGTGGTGTGTTTTGGTCGCGAGATACATGCCGTGGTGCGTTGAGTGAGATCAGGACGCGTGCTTCCACCATTTCGTCTTTGTTGAGCCATACGACGTTGCAGTCGCGGCTCCTTTCAGGCTCTCGCGCACCCAGGTGACTCTGAAACCCCCCCACCCCGTGTTTCTGACCCTCTAAAGAGCTGCAGTGTAACCGAAGTTTGCCAGTGACATTTCAAGTGTCTTTTTTTTTTTCTCTTTTTGCAGAAACCTCTGATCTCCTAGGAGGTGCCCACACAAAACCCTCTCGTTTCCTTTAGCGTAGTGTTGGCATTTTGCCCACCCCTAACTCCCCCTCCCGCTCACCACGGACCTCATCAGAGAGGGAACAAGCCAGCGTGTGTCTAAAAACAAGGACCCATCTGAAGCTGGTTGGGTCCTTCAGGGCTGATTTCTGCACCTTCTGGTGAATCCCAATGGCTCGGGGATCCCCAGACAGAGCACGTTTTTGCTACCGGGAGCGAAAAATGTGGACTGTCTGGCAGGGAGCTGGGCGGGATCAAAAACATGGACCGTCTGGGTGGTCCCCGCGGACCGGGTTGAGGAACACTGCCTTACAGTATGATTGTAGCAGGGGTGAGACACTAAACAAACTGATGTCTGAATTAGTTGTGTCAGTTATGATCAGTGAGCGTGATGCATGTGGAGATCGCCATGATAAATGGCTCATCTGGGAAGGTGAAGAACTGCGAAGTCTGTACAAAGGCAACGGGTTCGAGACATAAGCCACAGCTGGAGGTAGAAATACTAATAAATAAATGTAGCATGGCCTGTAGTGAAGGTATATTGGGATAAACTTTAGCAGCGTGATAAACTTTAAAAGGCAGCATGAAAGCAACTGACATCTTGTCCTTTTGTGTTTGAGTTATGATGCTGTTCAGACTTTATTGCCCCAGGCTGGTATGATGTATCAGTGTGGAATTCCTGCTTTTTTTTAATAGTGCTTATGGACTTTTGTTTTGTCCCCTGCAGATCATGATAGAGTTCTGTCCCGGGGGAGCTGCGGATGCCATCATGTTAGGTAAGCTGCTTCATCTTCATCGTCACTGTCTGATCAGGTCGCCTCTCACTGGGCAGGTGTATCTTCTGTGTACATGTGGTACAAAAGTGCGAGTGTTGATTGGCTGATTAGGCCGGCATGAATTCTCTCTCTGACACTGAAGTATAACTGGATTTGGTCTGATGCGTCTTCTGGAGTGAATACATCTATGTGTTTAAGCCTGTGACTGAGGTGCACTTTTACTTCTGAAATAAATGAACTCGCGAATAAATGAACTTGTGACTGTATGAAAAATGTTTAGGGAGGAAGCCATTTTGCATAGAAATTGAGATACTAGAAGTTACTTGCGGCATTTTTTTGTGCTTTGTCTAATTTTTCATCTGCGGATTGGCCTTCACCCACAGAGCTGGACCGGGGGCTTACGGAGCCTCAGATCCAGGTGATCTGCTGGCAGATGCTGGAGGCCCTGGACTATCTGCACGGCATGAAGATCATCCACCGAGACCTGAAGGCCGGAAACATCCTGCTCACCCTGGAGGGGGACATCAGGCTCGGTGGGTGGGGTCGTCGAGCTTTGGCCATGGCCCCGTTACCCGTAACCTCTGCCCGGTCTCTCTAGTTATTGCAGTATTTATCACACAAATGAGAAGCTGTGACCTCCCCTTTAAAGGCCAGTTCATTTTGGTCAGATGCTTCAGTTCACCACCAGCAAAAATCGATTATTCCCCTTTTTAATGCCATGCTGCCACACAAAGGAAAGACAAAGTAAACATCTCAAAACGTTCAAGCAAGATGTGTGCCAACACATCAGAAGCCTTTCTTCTGATTGGATGCCCCCCCCCCCCCCCCAGTCCTCGCCACATTCTTTGGCTGCTCTCAGGACCCTGGACGGAGCACCCTACGACAGCCTTGCCTTAGCCTCTACCTCCCGAACACGGCCGCATTGTGTGTCCCATAATAGCTCTCCAAAATGTCAGGCCTAGTGGGAGGTAGAGGCTGGGATTTGAGGCATGGGGAGAAAAGCTATTCTTTCAGGTCGTCCGTTTAATCGCACTCAGTGCTCAAAGTGTCTGCTTTCGGTTAGCGGTGTTAGCCAGGCTCTCCGGTCATGCCCCGCCCTCCAGGTTAGCAGTTTCCTTGTGTAGCCTTGTATTTGTACAACTCCAACCTAAAATAACATGAGCTGGCTATATAGCTGGTTGAGACCATCCAAACCTACCTGTGGACATTGTCGTATACTCTGTTGATGCCTTACGGGCTTGTCCTTTTCATTGCCCAATCGGCTGTCAAGATTCAACGTTCTTTATTGTCATCTCACCATATAAGGGCAAACGAGGTGGATGTTCGAGGTGGATGGCGATAAAGGCAGGGGTGTAGGAACCATGGCGATGGGAGCAGGGGGAGAGATGTGTTCCCCCTAATATTTAATTAGGGTTTATTCATCCTCCCTAATAAATAGATCCTTGTATTTAAATGATTTAGTTGTCTGCCCGGCCTCCCCCCGCCCCCCACT